CCCAGGACCAGAAGCCCGAGATCCCAAGTTTTAAGAAACTAAAATTTACAAACTGTAATAAGGTGAGACGAAGAAGGAAAAGGGAGCCCCCTTAGGCCTTTCAAGAGCCCCACACTGGGATGCTGCGGTCTTGTGGCTATTTATAAAATGCATATTGATATGTAGTCAGCTCTTGTTCTTTACATACAATGCCCCTAGGAGGTCCTCAGATCCCTGAAGGGAGAGAGGGACAGGCCACACCTCCACAAACAGAGCAACAGAGGTCCACTCCAACAAGTCTCACTGAGTACGGGGAAGTTTGGAGCCCAGCACCTCAGGGATTCAGGCACGCCTACCGGTGTCCCGGACTCGGAGCTCGCATAGAATCCCAACATACAGTCAGTGCTGCTAAATAAAGGAGAAACCACCCCCTCCTAAAAACAGGGAGGTAACCTTCCTCCTCAACTAGCCCTATGAGCACCCTGGAATACCCAGGAAAAAAATCAGGGGTTTGCTGTAGAGGTGGGACCCTAGTCTGCGGGCCACTTACGGAAGTGAATGAGGTAGACCATGTCCTCCTAAGATGAACCCTTAACCGCTTAGGCAGGAACCCCATTTCCAAATACTCTTTATTTACATGTGATTGGGGCCTGGTGGACCTCCCCCTGCCCCTCCTTTTTAAATTAGCCTAAATGGATCAGCCTTTTAAGAGGATGGTTTACTTCTACAGCATCCACGTTATCCAGTTTTAATTGTTTTCCATTCTTCTCTTACTTCTAACTTTGGAGCATCCAAAACATCTCAGCAGGAGGGCATTTTCCTATGAAATAATTATTATTAGAAGTAATTACATATAGGCTCTTAATATCCCACATGGAATATGTTTTCATTTAAGTTATATTTTACTAAATAGCTAGAACTCTCCAAAAGTGGTTTGAGAACTCTATAAATGATATTTTGAATGAAAAGGGATTGCTTAGACACTAAGGTAGATCAGAACTGCTTCCTCATAGAAATATGATTAATCCTGAAATTAATGGCTCAAACGGCATCTACCATTTCTGGAAGCCCAGCCTGATCGGTGCCGAATGCAGAAGGAAAGCCAGGCTGTGGAGGGAGCAGACAGACTCTGTGTTTGCAGGGTTTGGAGGCCAAAATGGACCAGCCCTGCCAGGAGCCTGCTCCACACCCACCCACTACATGACGTTGGGCAAGTCCCTTCACCCTTAGGAGCCCTCCATTGGTTTTCCTGCAAAACAGAGAAAACCAGGCTTTTGCATCTCCCATCATGTGCCTTGCTTAGGACACAACCCATGATGGGCACTCGTAAACAATGGTTTCAGATACCCAATGGTGGGTATGAGAACAATGTTCCGCTGGCTTAAAGGCAGAACATGAATGTTCAGACATGAATGTTCTGAAACAAGGCAATTCTAGAATGTGCAGTGAAGGCAAGAAGAGAAAGACCAGGCAGGAAAGAACGAGCTGAGAAAGAAGGCACGAACTCCATCTCCAGAGAATGCCCGCAGAGCCTTGGCACCTGCAAGCCGGCACCAAGCCAAATGGCCCAAAGACTTGAGGGAGCTTCTGCTGCAACAAAAACCTCTGGATCATTTAGGGAATCTCCTGCGGGGTGCCAGTATGTCGCTGTACCCTCCCAGCTCCATTACCGAAAGAATGCATCCAGATAAAGTATGCACACGCTCAAGGTGGCTAGCAGCTGGAAAAACTGGAGTTGATCAAACTGATCTTGAGAAATACAAGAAGATGGTGTTTAATGATGTGCCAGGTAAAAGCTCTGTGCAGAGAGGTGAGGTTAAGGAAGGGCCTGAAGGAAAGCAGACCAGCACATACCGAGGGAAGGCAAGTGAGGGGAGGGTGCAGGGACCCCAGCTCAACACAGATCACCGAGGCAGGTTCCCACACACTCAGCACTAATAGTGCAAAGATGTGAAATGGTAATGATGGCTCTTGGTGCTAAATCTGAGCTTCCATAATCATAATCTAAAGGGGATGAGGAACATGGTACAATGGGATTCACAGAGAACAAGTGAACAGATAAAAGATGATAAAAGGGATGAATTTCTCTAGTCTACCACCAATAAAATCTGATTTAAACATTTGAAAAGCCATGTGAGTATTAGTTTTATTTTCGTTTCCACTGCCTTCTCTCATGTCCCTGACGGCGAGTATTTTTGGATAATTCTTTCTCTGGGAGCACAGTTTGCTCGTCGACTTCAAGTTACTATATGTAGAAGGAAATTATACAACGATGAATTCTGCCATCTGAGATGGACTCACAAGGACCCAATTATGGCTTAAAATGCAAGAAAGAGTAACTAAATGCGGGGGAAGTGCCCTTAAGATCTCCCTATTCGACCTTCTTTGTCAGAGATGAGGCAACTGAGATGCCAACAGATTAAGAGACTTGCTAAGATCCCAATGTTAATCAGGGCACATCCAGGAATCTCTGTTCCAGGCATCAAACAACAGTTATAGTGGGATAAACACAGCTGAGTCTATTCTCATATTTAAGGAAAAAAGAAAATAATTTAAATGCATACATAATGGCACTTCAGCATTATCTTCCAAGACTGGTTTAAACATTAGTATCAGTGCACAGTATGGTGACTATAGTGTCACTGGGGCCACTGGGATCTGATTTTTCTAGTTAAGTATAGCACCAAATGGGCACAATTTTTACAAGTTAGACACACTTGGCTGCCAGACAGACAGCAGGTACTCATCCACCCCGATAGCACGGGCAGAGATCAGTTCCACGCCACTAGGTGACGACTGGGAAACTGCTATCAAAATTTTACACATTCATGTCCTTTGAAGCCACAAATGCACTGCCAGGACTCTGCCCTACGGGTGTGCTCACAAAGGTCTACGTCAAGAACGTTCATGGCAGCATATTTGAGACCCAATTTTGGATGAAAATGCAAGACACTGAACTTTAAGAGAGCCTTGCTTATAAAAGCAAAACAATGCACACAGAAAGGGAGACTGGTGAGGTCAACTATAGCATGAGCACGTGCTGGAACATTATACAGCAGTTAAAAACAGGACGGTAGATCTACATGGACTGGTAAGATCTGCTGTGGTGTTAAGTGAAAAAAGTCAAGTACATAACAGTATGAGTATGTGTGCTAATATATACAATCTTTTCCTGGAAGAATACACAAGAAATGGCCAATAATATTCACCTTCCAAGAGAAGGACTGGGAGGGCCTTTCACTATTTACGTTGTACCTTCCCATTCTGGATGACGATTCAAACCACATGCATATATTAGCATTTGTTCTCCTTACACATCTCTAAAGATTACTGCTACACCACCTGATAGAGGTATTACTTTTTTAACTTTTTTAGAGTTAGAATGATGCTAAAGTAATCAGGAAAAATCAGTCTCTGTTCTTTTTTTTTTAATTTAACTCAAAATAACGAATCCAGAGAACTCAAGACAAGGGCTTATTTGAAATACAGTGGATTTGAAATATTTCATTTGATATATATGAGAAAGCAAAAACAAATCTTCTTTTTCTTGACTTCTAAAACTTCTCAGTCCAGAACATCAGACGTTCTCCTAAACAAACCATGGTCTATTTCTCCAGATGTCAAGAAATCCTCCATGGTGTTCAGAAAACAAAGACAGTCTTGGTAAGGATTATCCAACCACCTTCACACTCCGCTCCCAGCAATGGGACTGTCTTCTCCTCCTGTACCTCCCAGGGCCATGGCAAGGGACCAGTCTGATGACCCTTCTCCCATCCTCTGCCTGGTCATCCTTGAGATCTCAGCTCAGTTACTTCTTTCTCAGGGACTCCAAATGCCCCAACTCCCTAATCAGCATTTTGGAGTACTACAGACTTCACAGTACCACGTACCATCATTTCTAGTTTACATTGATATTTACGTTTCTTTGGTTAAATCTGATTTCCACTCTCGGCTGACACCTCTAATGGCAGTTTTTCCTTGACAATAGATCCTGGTACCTATGACAGTGGCATATTTCATAAAGATGTGGATGAATGAAACAGTCTATACTTCATGCTGAAGCCACACGATCATGTTAAAAAATCGATCAGCCTGTGTCACTCTCTGGCTCAACCCTCTAATGTATTTCATCACTGACCCTGAAACCCTGCATGACACCCTCGGAGCATCTCTGCGACCTCCACCCCTTCCATTCAGCCCCAGCCACACTAGCCTCCCGCCTCCAGACACATGCCTACCTCTGTGCCTTTGCATATGCTCTTCCCACTGCTTTGAAAGTATCTCCCCAACATTGGCCCAGCTTATGGCTTTACTTTGTTCAGGCTGAGGATCACATGTTACAGCTTTAGAAGGGGTCTTTGCTGAAAAACCAACCTAAAATGGTCCACACTGCCGCCCTTCCTCTGTCATTCTGCTTTATTGCCCTTTATCGCACTTACAAAAGCCTGGCATTATGTTAAATATTAAACTTAATTAGCTCTTAGGGTCTTCTCTCCCACCTAGAAGGTAAGCCCATGAGGGCAGGGATTTTGTTTTGTTGGGTATTGCCATATCCTTAGACCCAAGAGCGCTGCAGGCCTTCAATAAACATTTGTGCACAGACATAACAACACCGAAATATACACAGAGAGAGAAAAGCAAAAGGGAAAAACCAGAGACAGGGTTAAAGCCTACTCCTTTCTCATCTTAAAAACCATAAGCATAACAAACTCTTAGTTGCACACATGGCACTAACCACATTTTTATTCTTCTTAATAAATGAGCTAAATGAGTAAACATTCTCCAGTCTCTGACTAATAAAGCAGATGACACTGACAATAAACTATAAACAAACATGTATATAACGATGGCCTTGCTTGCCCGTTCATTCACCAAGTAAACAAAGTGACTATGACTTGAAAAATAAAGAAAACATTATTCCAAGAGCAATAAACTTTATGTGCTGTACTCAAATTTCCATGTGTTTTTCTAGTATGTGTATTTGATGATTAAAAAAGAAAAATAGGCAAGTGCTTGCTCACCCACTCTCCCAAAATGAGTGACACGGCTTCATCGGCTTTTGTCATATTCCTACAGGCCAGGATCACGTGTGCGCCATGGAGGGCAAACGACTTGGCAGTTTCAAACCCTATATTTAAAGGAAAGTCAACATTAGAAAACACAAACACAAAACATTAAGTCATGCTGAATGGCCTTCATTGAACACCACAGACATTACCCTAGTGGTTCTCAACCACAGGTGATTTCACCCACTAGAAGATAGTTACAATGTCTACAGACAATTTCAGTGGCCACAGCTAGGGGTTGGGTGTTACTGGCATCAAGTGGATAAAGGCCAAGGATGCTACAAAATACCATACAAAGCACAGGACACATCCCACAGCAAAGAACCATCTGGGCCAAAAGGTCAAGCATTGAGTTTGAGCAAACCATAGGATTTGTATAGTGATCTCAGAGGCGAAGGCCACACTGGAGAAGAACTCGTGGCAGAGTCAGCCGTTTGACCACTGCTTAATAACAACCAGGTCCTCTGCTACACATAACAAATAAGGATAAAGACTTAGACACGGTCTGGGAAAGTCAAAAGGCCAAGAGAGGTGAGCAGGCATTTAGTGTTTCTGTACCCAGTGAAAATATCCTTCAAAAATAAAGATGAACAAAATTTTTAAACAAACAAAAAGCTGACAATATATATCACCATCAGATCTACACCTCAGAAAATACAAAAGGATGTCCTTCAACCAAGAAGAAAATGAACCTAGATAGAAATCTGGACATGCAGAATAACAAAGAGTAACATAAAGGGTAAATATATGGAAAAATTTTAAATGATAATAGTAATTTTAGAATTATATATATATATGATAATAGTGAGTTTTAGTATATATAGCAAGAATTACTATATGAATAAAAACATATAACCTAGGAGGTGAGTACATGGGATTAAAGTATTCTAAGACCCTTGTATTATACAAGAAGGGTTAAAGTAATAATTTATATGAGATTTTACTAAGTCAAAAATGCAGGTTGTAATCGCTATGATCACCACTGTGAGAACAGTAAAATAAAACAAATTTAACAAACTAATAAGGGAAGTAGAATAAAAAGAAGACAACAAAGGGGAAAAAAAGGAATATAAAACAAGTTAGATAAACAGTATAGCAAGCCAATAATAAGGTAGTATATTTAACACCAAATATATCTGTGATTACATTAAATATAAATGGATGAAAAACTGCACTCAAAAGACAAAGATCATTAGGCAAGGTAAAACACATACATATAGTAAGCTCCTTACAAAAGTATATATGTTATGCTTTGCATTCTTAAACACAAGGATAAAGTTAAAAGAATTAGTAAAATATATACCATGTAAACATGAACCAAAAATAAGTATTATAAGAGGAAAGGCTAAATATTTCATAACAGTGATTTCCAATCCTCCAGGAATATGTGACAATTCTAAGTTTATGTGTGTGTGTGCGTGTGTGTGTGCATGTGTGTGTGTATATACACACATATACATATATGTCAAATTTGACAGAATTTGGAGAAATTCATAATCAGAGTGGAAAATTTTAACATATCAGTAACATAAAATACACAAATAGGAAGTATATGGAAGATCTGAATAATATAATTAATAAACTGGAAATAATTGAATATGCTAAAAACTGAACACAGCAGCAGAATGTACATTCAAGTCCTTAGAGACTATTTACCAAAATTGACCATATACAGGGCCAAAAGCAAGTCTCAATAAATTTCAAAAGATTAAAATTGGAAAGTATGTTCTTTGACCGCAATGGAATAAATCAGAAATCAATACCAAGATCCTAGGAAATCCCCCATCTAGAAACTAAGCAATACATTTTTAACTAATGTAGAGAAAATAAATGTTCCTATGGCCAAAATTCTCACCTGGCCCTGGTTGGCTGGCTCACTACATACACATGTGTGGGCAATACATTGTTATTGACTCTATGTACAGAGCTCTGCCCAGTGTTCTGGGTGGCACGACTGCAGAAGAGCAGAGACTGGAGTGGTGGCAGCACCGAGGACAGAGACTGAGACGGCTGTGCAGGGGCAGAAGGTCCAGAGGCAGAGACCAGCTTGCTGCGTGCAGACTCGCTCTGAGTGGATGGGATTCTAGTGATTGACCTTCCACCATGGGAATAAAGT